GTGGTTCACACTGGAAGGTCTTATCAGGAAGTGATAATATTATAGCTTGTGTAGACAGCTTTGTTGACTTGCTTCTTAGTTGTCTGTCCTTACGTGTTTGCAGCTGCAGATTGCAGCCTAACACGTAGGCATGAAGAAGTGTAGAATTAAGCATACTGAAGGTTACAAGATGGAGTGACTTATGCTATATTCCAACAATTACCAAAATAAGTCTTTTTTTTTTTAGTGGTTAGCTCTTCCTTTGATTGTCCAAAGTTTGATGTGTGAGCTCATTGGAGGAACTAGTTGATGGAAAAGGTGGAATAAAAATTCTTTACCTAAATGACTTTTCTCTTTATTTTTTTAAACACATTTCAGGATTCTTCCATAGTTTGGATTCAGAAGGCACTGGGAGTGCTGTGATGAACCTTGCTGAGGTAAGGAAGTTAAGACTGTTTTTGTGTGTGTTTAATTACCACTTTTTATTTTTGGACATCATCTGGATATGGCAGAAGAAATTAGCAAATTAGAAGAGATAGAAGGAAAAAAAACAAAGGTTTAGACTTGTTTGGATAGATAACAGTGTTTTCATTGAATTGTAGGAGACAAAAAACTTGAGAAAAAACTAGCTTTAAAGTAGCTTTAACACTTAATTTCTACATAATTTCGAAAAATAGGGCAGATTATAGCCTAGTATATCATTCTGAGCTTCTTTGTTGCTTTCTTTTCTCCACAGTGGCTGACATTCACAATGTGCGGCTAATGCAGTGATGGCACTTCATAAAGACCACCTAAAGAAACTAGGCTATCCTGAGTGTCTTCCATATGTCGGATCTACAGACATAGGATGGCCCATCAACCCTATCTGTTCTTTGCCACTGCATCCAGTCCAGAACCTGCTTTCTTCTTCCTCTCAGCAAAAGACCCAACAATATCCTGTGATTTATGTTCTCTCAGATTTACATGTCAAAGCTTCTTCAGGAAGCAGGCTATTTCCTGCTGTTAGCATAGCTCTTGACAGCAGCATTTTAGGAACTGGGGAAAAGCGAGTGAGGGGGCACGGATGCATGTTTGTTCATACATTGCATGCACATTTTAGTTATGTTATTGAGCTTATCAAGAGGGACTGCCTTTGGGAGTTAGCAAGAGGCAGGATTGCAGTTCAGTTAGTCTTACCCTCTTCACTGGCTATGGCTGATTTTGACCTTGCAAGAAAGCCTCACTCTCTTTGCTGGGCAGTTCTGCATCTACTACTTAGCTTTTTTTTTCTGTGGGAAAGTTACAAAGGGAATTGCGTCCCTAATTCAACTTTCAACACAATGCTTTTAAAGTAATGCAGTGACACTCTGAAGTAGTGCCAAAGGTTGGTGAAATCAGGCATTTGCCAAGACGACTAAGAATCTACTGTCAAAAAGGGCCACTATTTTCACTTTATGAAAGAACTCAACGAAGTCAGAGGCAGAGGGAGAACTCTCAGTTTAAAAGCCCTGTTTCTTCTAAGGGATGGGACTGCATTGAGAGTCCCTGTATTTCATAAACTGTACCAGAAACAGAAGTGATCCATAGTGAGGTTTCTCTTTGTTCACTATTAGATTAGAAAAGCTAATCATCCAACTCATTAGAACAGGCTGAGCTAAGCAACTTGTCCTGCTAGATTTGTACAAAATCCTAGGTAGAAAATGGTTGAAAAACATCTTTACCAATGACCACACTGGAGAGCGTAGCCCCCCTTCCCCCGCATCCAACGTAAGAACAGTCTTTCTAGATTTATGAATTTAAAGTTTTAAAAACTAATATAGAAATAGTGAAGTGTGCTGAAGGGTATGCTTTCCTATTTTTTTTTTAATTTATCTCCACTAGAGCTTGGAGATTTTTAACAATGAAAATACTTTTTTTTTTAAGCAAAACTAAAGTGTCTCTTGAATTTTATGTTTTATACATAGTAAATGAGAACATCAACATATTACAAACATAGCCTTCTATTTCAGAATATTTTCTGTTCCTATGCAACTAAAGATGTTGTTCTGACAGGGTCTGGTGAATGGGCTAGACTTCTGTTGAAGTTGTAAGCATAGATCAGGTCACCACATGCCTTGTACTCCAAGCTTTAAGAGCAATATCTTGTGACTTAATTGAAGGAAAATGTTATTTCTGAGTGTTGTTTCCAATCATGCCTCTGACTTGTCCTTGGCTAAAAATATCTCTTTTTTTTGCTAATAGCTTTAATATTCTGAAGGTATCTGAGTGGAATAAAATGTCTACACAGGAAATACAGTACTTGTAGATCACTTCTTACTACTAAGTCGCTGTAGTACTATTGAATAGAATATCCTTTCAGGTAATGCTTCCCATCCTACATTCATTGAATAGGACCAGGCTAAATGTTCCCATCTAATCTGCAGTCTCATCTTTCTGCAAATGTCCAACTTGCATAGTTAAGTAATTATGCAAAACGGGAGTTTGTGCTGTATAGACATGATCTCAAAATTGTGGTCTTATTCTTGATTAACAAGCACAAAACAACCATTTATAAGAATATCTACTAAAGCCTAATGCTTTTAAGTTAGAAATGTTGCAGAGGGGGATCCTATGTTATTGGGCACTAAATGAAGATTGTGAGAGGAGTATGCTTTACTAACCAAATAAGGAAATTATTTATATCTTCTGGGCCTTCGTAGGAAGATTATTCATTTGATTAAAAGGATGAGGTCACCACTCTGTAATCTATTCCTTTAAAAGGAGGGGGGGACCCTGTTTTCTGTATTCAAGTCACATACACTAAGAAAGTGCAGATTTGCAAAGTGCATACAGTAAACAGTACATTCTTTCCCCAAGAGTTAGATTTTCAGAAATCTTTACAAAAACTGCTGCTGGAGAAAAGTGGGAGTAGAAGATTAAGTTTGTAATATGGATCTGAGGTTTAGGTAGTTAAGTCCCAGCAGGGGAAGAGGGGCCAATGTGCTGAACTAGGACTACCAGATCTGGGCTTTAGAAGTACAAATGGCTACTAAATGGCATAGTTCTGTGCATTTATTTCACTTGACATTGTAGTCATCCACAGCTTCCATATCACTCCTGTAATAATAGAATATTCCTCTGCGCAATATTGATCCAAACTCATGCCTTGGTTGTGTCCAGAGGCTGGCAATGACGTCACTGCTTTCTTGCAAGGATGTATATACTCTCTTGCTGCCTTCTCCCAAATTGCAACATATGTAAAATAATAGAAATTTATCAAATTCTGTTCATACATATTTTGTGTTTGTGTGTGTGCATGCATGCAATTCTATTAATAATGGTTAAAATTATTGGAAACAAATGGATTTTACTAGGAACCATTTGTCAAAGCAGGTTTCATAAATATTTTTACAAAAATTTGCAGACTACGTTAAAAAAAAAAACTACTGTTCAATTGCATGAAAAATGTTATATACTGTATACTACCAACAACTAATTATGAAACATCCAAGGATAAAAATACCATTTATGCTTTGTTAAAATGAAAAAAATAACATAATGGAAGGGTACTGTTTCCAAAATTAAATGTACCATGTATTTGCTGCTTGTACAGGGTAAGATGGTTAAAATTCAGAAAAGGTGGAAGTAAATGCAACCTAGTGTCCAAGCCATATCTGTATTACTTTTACAGTCTTAAAAATAGGAGGAATTGTCTGCAGATAGAAAAACCTGATTCTGATGAAAGATTCTTGGAAATTCTAATGGTTGAATATTATTTCATAAGCTTCTATTGAACTGATTGCAATATTTCTGCCTTAATATAGATATGAATGGTTTTACCTGCCATAATCAGCATGGTTGCTTTTGTTTATTTTATACCAGAAATTGTAGTCTATCAACAAGTGTAACGGAACTAATCAATACGTGACAAAGTAAGCTCATAAATGTCATCAAAATATAATTAAGTTGGAAGAGTAGAAAAGTTGGAACTATTAAAGCTATAACATTTCAGAATAACATAATAAGAAAGTTGGAAGGGACCTTCTAGTCCTTATTCAGACAGGAAACCCTATGACATTTCAGACAAATGGTTGTCCAATCTCTTTTTAAAAACTTCCAGTGTTGGAGCATCCACAACTTCTAGAGGCAAGTACTTCCAATGATTAATTGCTTTAGCAATTAATCATTGGAAGATTGATTCGGTCCTTGATTAGGTTGATTCGGTCCTTGATTAGTTTTCACCCATTGCTTCTTTTCCTGCCTTCAGATGCTTTGGAGAATAGGTTGATCTTCTTTGAGGCAACTCCTTAAATATTGGAACACTGCTATCATGTTACCCCAGTCATTCTTTTAATTAAACTAGACATACCCAATTCCATTGATCCTAGCCTAAACTAGAAATATCCAATTTCCACTGATCCTAGTATAAACTGTACTGTAGGAAGAGGTAGCAGTCTTAATTGGTCTCTCTGAAGTAGTATTGCATGATGCATACAAGAAACACAAAAGCGGGTGAAAATATAAAATCCAATCCAATTCTATATTTTATTCAGAAACCAGCAGGTGGCATAATAGCTCTTTTAAGACAGATTGCTATCCTGCCTGTTACTCTTAGATTCCTAAAATGACTGGAAGATGACTGTAACTTGGTTTAAGAATACAGGGAAGTGTTTGTTAGATTGGCTTAAGGGAAATTATGCTCATTCATTGCTTTAATATATAACTCAGAATGAGAACTTAAAGATCCTCAAAGAATTTATGAATAGCTATCTTAAATTTATGTTGGACTAGTATAAAACAATATATTAAACAGTATTCCAGGTAAGTAGTCCCTATTTTGTTAGATTGGATTCATATCACCTGGAAGGGCTGAAAGAAATTAATGCAAAATTGATGTGCCTTGAACTTTCTTATTTTTTTGTGTGCCTTATTTTAGAATAGCTCTACTCCTATTATGCTTTTTTAGAATGATCCTTTTTTGGAAAGTGGAAATGACAGAGATTATTTCTGTAAAACTTTAGAAATACTTTTCTTCTTTAATTTTGCCATGGCACTGCTCCCGATTGATAAGTTAGCTACCAATTTATAGTATGATTTTTTTTTCTAAACAATTAAACTGGAATCCAGGTTATTTCCAATTTGAAAGTGTTCTGGAAAAAAAACAACCCCAGAATGGGATCTAAAGAAAACAAAAGCTTCTCCTATGTGGAATTAAATATATATGCAGCCGTTTGAGTCATCCAGAAATTAAAATTTGATCCAAAAGTCAGCTGTTGCAGGAAACGAGCTCTTAATGTTTATCCCAAGTATTTATTTAAATAGAGAAAAATCTAACTCTTAATATCCTTCAGCTTGGAATAGTAATAAGCTTTCATGGACTTCCTGTGCTCATTTGGCATGAGCATTCATCATGCTAGGTGGCTACAACTAAAAAACCATGTGCCAAGCTTCCAACAAGCGCAGTTTGTTCTTTCCTTCCTGGGTACTGCTTCTGTTTCGGTTCAACAGTCCAAAACCCTGGGAGTAAGAATGTATCCTGATGTTCTGTCTTTAGAGACAGTATATTTAGAATCACACAAAGCACTGCCCTGGTAAGGCTTTGTGGGAGGCCAGCATGCTTTTCCTGTGTTTTGGGATTAGCTGCACCTCACAGCTGGATATGAAAAGCTTCCAGGAAACTTGTATGAATGGATAAGGTGGAGCTTTCTGTGGCTCACCAAATATAATTCAGTGTTTGGCAACATCTTTTTTTTCCATTCCTCTTTTCTCATGTAAGGATCTCTGAACAGCTCCGGGGCATGAGCTTTTGAGGTGTCAACAAAGCCATCTGGGGGCTGTGGCATCAGTTAGCCAGGGTTGGCGGGCTCCCATCAACAGCTCCAGAATCTCAAATTGGGCTAATGTACTGGGGACAGGAGGCAGAGGAGAGATTTTTTTCCCCACTTGTAAAACTTATTCTAAGCATGTTCCAATAAAGAAAGAGGTTTCCTTGGTATGCCGAAAGGAGCTGTGACACTCTGGGAAGTGACTTCCTTTTAAGAACTTGCCAAAAGTTCTTGCGCTTCAAAGAACCCACTGGGAACTATCTGAAGAACAAACTACTGGAACTATCTTGCTTGGCACTTTATTTTTGTCATATACCTGTATGCTGTAGGTATTTCAGTACTAGTTATACATTTATTACAAATATATTGTTGGCCATATTTATAAATAGCATGCTATTTGTAATAATTTGAAGGACAACCTGCAAGAAAAACAAAGCAATTCATAATTAAAGTCTGCTCACAATAAAATTCAAATTAGTGTGCCTGAAATACCTAATCCGGTTAGATGGATTAGGGCAGACATGTCAAACTCGCGACGTCATGTGATGTCGCACAACGTATCGGGACTGTTTTGCCATTGCCGGCAATGGGGTGGGTACGGCTTCTGCGTCACCCCTGGATTAGGGTGATCAAATACAACAATAAAGAGGTTTCCAGAACATTTTTAAAAATTGAAAAACAGCCTTACACAACAAACAAAAACTCTGTTGAAATTGCAACTCCCATAAAACATTTCTTTTTGAGATCTATGGAGAGTCTCAATCATCCAGGTCATGGTTGTCCCAAAGGGGCTTTTCCAAAAGGCAATTGGACTTTCTTGTATTTTTTTTCTTTGAAAACATTTAACTTCTCATCCAAGAAGCTTCTTCAGTTCTTCAGTTTGCTTCTTAGAACTCAAGAAGCTTCTTGGATAAGAAGTGAAACATTTTCACACACACACAAAAAGAAAGTCCAGTTGCCATTTGGAAAATAATTTCAGGACTTTCTGTTTTACCTAGCCATCCTAAACAGGATCCATACAGTTGCTGGGCCAATACACTGAATATACACCGAATATAAACCAGGGATTGGTTTATCTGGCTTGTTGAATAAATCACAATTGACTAGGGTCACAAAATGTCAGACTGAGCCACTGGCTATAAATCATGCCTTAGTTCACACACATTAAATGTCAAGTCCATAATGGTTTAGTGGAATGGGTAAGCCTGAGCTGTATGACTGTCATGACTTGAATTCTGGAGTCCTGCACTATTGGTGTGCTACTGTATGTACTATTTAGCCCTTACCATATATAAAGTAAAATATTTCAAGCCATGGAAACACCTTGGCCTTGGTAGGATGCTGGACAATGTATGAAAGTTTCTAAATTCCTCCTGCAGTTCTTTAAACCTATGTATATTCATTATTCAATGAGGTTTTAAGCCTCAGAAGATATAGCAGAATTTATTGCTGTGTTGAATTGAACTGATTTGTTAATCCCTTCTTATTAAAATCTGGCTTCTTTCAATCTTTGAAGATACATGGTAGTGGGTGGTAGGGCCTTTTGCTTGTTTTTCTGGAACAATACTGCATTTGAAGAAACCCAAATTAGGAAAATGAATTCATCCCGTATCATCATCTGAGATATCTTGCATATATTCATCTAATAAAGCAAAATGTATGACTAATGGAGAAGGATGTCTAACTACAACATATGCAGACATACTTTTATTATTTGGGCCTTTATGTGCACATATAAAAATAATTCTTCAGAATTCTGGAGCCATGTCACTTAATGCCACTAAGCACATTCTCCTTGCTATTCCATTCCTTTTGGCCACTGGCCAGCTGCCCAGGCACTTCAGTCACAAAGAACTCTTAGCGCTTTAAAGGTTCAGCTGCCTGGCTCCATCCCCACCACTTGCTTTCTCTTCCAACAAGCAACTGCTTGCATAATTCTTCCAAATCAGTCAGCAGTTGAGCAAACAGAGGGTGGAAGGGAATCCACCCAGCCTGTGCTCACCTGCTTATGCCAGCTGCTGCTGCCTACTGCATGCAAAGCTCAGGACCCCCCACTCCACCCATCAGATGTAAGATTTTCCTCCTATTACAAATCAAGTCCTACCAGAATTCCAGAACTGCTGGCTCAAAAGGCCTTTTGTAGGAGATAAGGTTCAGCGCAGACAAGTCGAATCTCCATGGATGCTCCAGCTGCTGTTTTATATCACAGGAATGCCTTGGTTCCTGGAGCCCTAACATATACTTTGGGAGAATGTAGGTAGCTTGCATTGGGTGGACAGAGAAATTGTGACAAGGATAACCTGAGTTTGGAGGAAGCCAGGCTACCCTAAGTGTTGTTCTTTTATTCTTCCCTTAGAAAAAAAGGAAAACTAAGCCACACAGTCCACATTCAGTACATTTACCTATTCTCCTCCTCCTCTACATTCCAATCTCTTCCTCTCACAAATGTGAATTATCATAGGTCAACTGAACAGGGCAGAACTGTTTCCATCTTATGTCAAGCATCCCTCAAATTATTTGAGCAGGAAAGAATAATATAATGGAACAAGGAATGTTAGTGGCCCTCTTGAAAAATCCACAAGAACTTTCATGCTCACTAATGTCAACACTGGAAGTGAGGTTGGCAAAAGTATGCAGAGCCACTTCACGTTTAGAGAGCTCAGATTCTACTTCACTGATTCTCTTCATACCATTCTCAGGTCATTTCCACTATTGATTTCAAGTACTATCCACAGCTCTCAAAACTGTCATCATAAAATTGGCTTTCCATGTTGCTGATCCATTCATCTTGCAACTAGGATGATTTGTCTTTCTTCCTACAACCCATTGGACACCTTACAAATAAAAATGTGAAATGAAAAAGCTGGCTTATTTTATTTTATTTTATTTATTGTCCATTCATTCTTTCACACACATTCAGAGGCCTGACTTCCAACAATTCTGCATGGTTTACAATTATAAAAATAAGAAAAAAAATTCCAAGCAAGCATAGAGAACATAAGTGACCTGGAAACAAACACAAAA